TGGCCGCCGGAGTCGTTTGGTCTCTTGTCACCTGTGCTGTCCCCGGGGGGCTGCAGGGCAGGAGGGGGGCACTGAAACACCGCTCTGCTGGAGGTGGACTTTTTGCCACTGGCAGTGCCAGGAGGTTTTTGTGTGTTGGGTTTGTTTTTTCTCCTAGTGAAAATCTGAAATGATGTAGACATTGAAATTGCTGCTATTTCTTGTCCCATAACAGCAGAACTTTTTTTTTTTTTTTTTCCAAAGAGATTTTAATTTTCAAGGTCTGCCAATGACTTTTCTTAATAGCATAAAGGACTTACTTTCATCACTGGTGGTCAATTATTTGCCACTGAGACTAAAAAATTATTCCCTAACAGAAGCACAAGAGAGCTTTATTATGGGTATATGACTGTGTTGAGCCAGTCTATGCAGTTTTTGGTTAGTTTTTTAGGGGAGGAAGGTTGTGGTGGTTTTTTGCTTTTTAATTTTTATTGTAGGTTTTGTTTGGTTTTTTGCTTTGTTGATCCTTGACACAAAAAAATCCCACAGGGGCTCAGAAGTCTGGTATCCAGTTGCTCTTATTTTAGTATGGTGGATATAAGGATGCTCTCAAACAGCCCGCTTCTCAGAAAAAAAGGGGGTTAAGGAAAAGCTACTTGTGATAAATAGAGGAAATAAACCTTTGGCTTTCAAATTACTCATATGATGATGTTGAAATCGTGGTAGAACTGGAGAAAGAGTCTTGTGCTTTAGCAACTGACTTAAGTGCTTACATTTCATTTTATTTTTCCACTGTAGGTAACCAGTTTTTTAACTAAGAACATAAGTAAAACATAATTAGTGATGTAATTTCTTCATTGAACTGGATTGTATAGAATGATTTAAAACATTACTTAAGTGCTCAGCACAGATACCAGTATAAGGTTTTAGGGGAAAAAGAGAGAATGAATTCCCTATTGGTAACTGGCCCCCTTTTTTGCCAGTGGTGGAATTATATTATATAAATTGCTGCATAATTTGAAAAATCAGCTTTACAGAGTCTAGACACCGCTCTCATTATGTGAACATTTAGTGTTTAGAATTTGCTAGTTATAGGGGAAAATTAAAGGTCTGCAGCTTTTATCAAGCACTAAAAGCAAGGAACTGAGAATATGCAGGTTATAGTCACTTTCTCTTGTTATTCAAAGCTTTTGGGGTACTAGTGAAACTGTCAAAATTATTATTAATATCGTGCTGTAGTTTGGGAACATCTTGAGGAACAGCAGAGCTGGTACTTGTGGAAAGTTGCATTTGGTCTAAGCTGTACAGATGCTTTGTGCATTAAAACGTTATCAGAGTGTGAATTAGTTTAATTGTGGTATGAACTTGTCTCTATCCACAAAAGACTAGAGCATCTGGAGGCTTGTGTTTTTCTTCAGAAAGTCCCTCAGGACTAGTTTCTAACTTTACCTGACTTTTCACATGCAGTCTCTCAGTTCCTTTTATGACTGGACTGTTTCTTTTTTCTCCACCCCCAATAGTTCAGCACCAGAAAAAGCAATGAATAATAAATAGTCTTGCTGTGGGGGAAAATAGAAATTTCCTTCATCACAAAGAGTAAATAATTTCAGGCTTTGTTGACAGCCTTTAGCTTGGGCACAGAGCAGGAAGGAGGGATGCTAGGGGTTAGAAAACACCCCTAGCATCTTTTCTTTCTTGTGTAGGCTGGAAAAACCTGACCTCTCAGCACCCCGGATACAAAGCCTGGGTGCTCCCCGCTTGAGTAGCGCTAGTGACCACGGAGTTTCCTTCCCAGCTGCCCTAATGCTCGGGGTGCCGTCAGGTTGACTTGAGGCTGGGTGACCTGGTGTAACGTGCTGGTGAAAGTCGCTGTGTCCATTGTGGGGGGACAGGGGGGTGCGGTGCTGCTCTGCCACTGTCACCCCGGGGGTTTGAAAAGGAGTGCATTGCACCCTTGCCTTTTCCTTTGCTGCATCTGCTGAGCTGGCCTGTCCTGCCTTTAAAACACGCAGCACGTGGTCTGAGTTTCTTCGCTAAGCCAGCCACGTCATTTTACTTGGTTTTCTGCAACATTAGAGCTGACGTAAATGCTCTAACCCATGAGAAATATGTGCCACAAAGCTTCCACGTCCTTGCGGGGAGGGTAAGAAAGATAATGATCATAACCAGAAACTGTACCTGGGTAAATAGCGTTGCTTCGTGGCCGCAGGGGACCGAGTATGCTGCTTGTCCTTGAGATAAATAGGTTGTGCTTGCTGCTTTTCTTTTTTCTTTCTTTTTTTTTTTTAAGTATGTGTTTTGTCTGGTTGTTGTCTTTTGCCCAAAATAGATGGTTGCAGTGGATTATGAAAAAGGGAAATGAGAGCTCTCTAAATAGGGCATGCTCTGCTCAGTTCTGCTAAAGGAAAAGGAGATCCTTCTCTTCTTTGCTATTAGCAAAGAATAAAGCTCAGGATCTAACCATGGAAAACTTATTTTTCAATGCTACTTGGAAATCTGGATGATCATACACTAGCTTGAATCTTTTTCTGCTGTCATCTTTTGTTCTTTATGACAAAAAATCCCCTGTTATCTCAGCCTTGTGATTACTAGTTTTTCTTTCCATGAAGCCTGTGAAGCAAATGATCATATGAGTATAAACCAGTCCTTCTGCTTAAGCTCGTCTAACATGGCTTTATTTGTTTTGCTTTTTTTAATAGACTGCTAGAGAACACTGTGAAATTATCATCAGTGGTAAATATGGGTTCAAGAAACATGATGACTTTAGGGATTATATTGAGATGTTTTTGATGGTTTTGTGTGATGTAAGCAGGATAAATACAAGGTAAGTGCTCCTAGACGTTTATGTGTTGAAAACTATTTGTGCAAATATTTTAATGACCACCCATGCATAAGTTTTTAACTTGAATAGAGTAACTCTCTCTGGCTTAAACTAGAAACCTGGGGGGGGGGGGGGGGGGGGAAGGACTTCTTGGCATGTTGAGTCCAGTTTTTAGTAGTGAAAGTCCACTTCAGCAAAAAGGTCAAGATTTATGTGAAAAATGTTACTGTTAGGAATAGTGAGGGTAGAACAAGCTGCTGGAAACTGCTTCAAAAGCTCATTGCTTTTGTGATAGTTCAGTTTCTGACTTTCTTGTAGAGCTGGTGAAAAATTCAGTTCAAGTCTAGTTCTGGTCAGTTGTTTGCAAAAAAAATGGATCATATATCTCAGGTGGTGACTTACTTGTGCTTTATGCAATAATACCAACAGATGCCTATTACTCGTGGAATGATCTTCTCTTTCTGGACGCATCACATAAATTGCTCATAAAAACTTAGGGATAAACTAATTGAGTATGTTTATATCTTTCTTTGTCATTCATTTCCAAATAATGAATTCCTTAATTTGTATTGAGGGTGCTCCTTCATTTTTTTGTATCCAGCAAAATATAACTAGTTTGTGCTTCCTTACTGTGCCAGTTCCTCTAATGAAAAGCTTTATCAAAGTAAACTCCAAGAATACATGACAGGAGAGGTTCACTAATAACTTCTAAATAAAATATGACTAGCAAAGACTTTTTTCTCCATTTCCTCTTCACCCAGTCTACTAATTATGATTTTCTGAATAATATAATTTAATAATTTTAAATCTAACTGTATAATGATGAGCTGCCTATCACCCTGATCGCTTCTTTTCATTCTTACTTTGCTAAAACAAATTTAGTTGAAAAGTGTTTTCAAGTTTGTTTGTTTCTTTTTTTTTCAGGAGTGGTTTTGCAAAGTGGACAGTAATGGAGTATATGAGTACGGGTAGTGATAGCAAAGAGGAGATTGACTTGTTGCTAACTAATTTAAATATGTCTGAGGTGATAGACATCATGGAAAACCTTTATCCAGGTGGAGACCTTGCAGTCTATGAAGACAGCTTAATTACAATGTGTGAAGAGGCAAATCAAAATGAAGAACGTGCAGAATCTTTACTGTTTTGTGAAAGGGAGGTTTCTTTGATGTCCTCCGTCAAATATGGGACCGTGGAAGACCTGCTTGCTTTTGCAAACCAGGTGTCTAACACTGCAAAACAATGTAAAGGATGCAGACAGCAAGAATCTGGAATCCTCTTGAATATGGTATGTCTCTTTCCTTTTTACTTGAAAATTAGTAGACCTTCATAGAACTTATTAATGAAACTAAATAAAGAACACCCCCAGTCCCAGGAGTAACAGTCAGGCTGTTGTTCCTGTTGCAAACCTGGGACTGGAGGGGATCTCTGAGGTTATCATGTCTAGTCTCTGTAGTCTCAGGCAGCTGTGGAGAAAGATCTTTTATTGAGAAAGATCTACTCTATGTTACCTCTTGGTATCCCTGGACATTAGAAAACATTTCCCAACATTGAATATGAACTTGAGACATGCAGTGAAAGAGCAAAAGCCACAACTATGATGGCTCACAGGTTTGAGAGATGGTAAAGGTTTTCCAGTGCCTTGTGTTCATGCAATAAAAAGAGTTCATTATGCAAAATTACTAAATAAAAGTCTAGGATCTATTTTGGTAGCATTGCTGAATTCACTCTGTCTGCACAAAATGTAAAAAGTAGTAATGTAAGGAGAAAAAGCATAAAGTATCAACTGTGACTTTCAGAATTCCAATATTATGTAATATCACACACTGCTAAATTCAAATATAGATGTGTTGTTTTAAGATATGTTCATTTTTTCCTTAAAATTATTTGTGTTCTACAAGCATCTGTAGATATGAATGTCATTGGACTTATTTTTAAAACCAGTTGCTCTGGAAACAATCAGTTATGAAAACGAAGTTTATTCGTATGTTTGTGCTGCTGCTTTATTTTCTTAAGATGTTCTACGTCTATCATTTTAAGTATCTTGTATATAATATGCTTTATATTTCTTGTGGCTTGCTTATTGCTCAAATGTGAAATTCTGATTTGGAGGGAGCATTGCAGTATTGCAAAACAGTCACTTTTTAAACTCTGTAACGTTGAAATTACACTTACTAATACTAAATGTTTCCTATACTTAGGATAGACACTGTTCTATATACTCGTGGTTGTTTTGCTTGCATGTTGTTTCTGTAGATGCATACAATTGTTATGAACCAAGTGCTATTAGGTGCACGTGATCCATTGAGCAACTGAGGATTGGAGGCAGGGCATTACCTGTGCATGCATTTCAGCAGGTGCATCTGCACGGTAAATATCTACAGCATTTGAGTTAGGATCAGGAGTGTTTCTGGTTGCCAGGTGACCCCCACTGACTGCACAGTGGCTCACAGCACAAGGGTCTTGGAGCACACCAACTGGGTTTCTTTCAGTTTAAACTAAACTGGAGGATGCATTACAGCCACAGATAAGCATTCGCTCCACCAGAGCAGGCTAGGAACTACACCTGAATGCCTCCTGAAAATATGAACAGTGTGGTGGTCGTTGCTCTCTTGCTCTGCAAATCCACTCCACTCGGTCTGTGTCACTTTCCAGGATAGGTGTAACCCATGTGAATTAGCAAGTCTCAACCCTTTGAAATGCAGAAGTGAGCAGGCAAGATGTACAGATTGCTAGAGTCTTTACCTTGGCTCTGATAAGTAGAGGGAGGCTCATTCTGCATATCCTAAGCAAAATACTTTTTATTAAAAGACACCTCCCCCCAACAGTTAAGAACTTATCCTCCCTAAAATTAAGACCTTCTAAGAATTAAATAATTTCATGTAGATACCAGTCACAAATGACAGATTAGTAGTCAAGAAGATACTTTCCTAATTGAAAAACATGAAGGTAGTTAAAGCACAGACAGGTTGTATGTATTGAGTCTTAAAAAGAAATCTAAACCAAATAATCTTCCTAGTATGCTGTTATTTGAAAAGGGGTGGCTGAAGAGCTGAGTATGTGAGACCATGTGGCAGACATGAAGTGATAAATATCCTTGATCTGCTTTTACATATCTTCAAGAATCTTTAATAAAGTAACAGTAAACATTCAAAATACTGACAATACTGCATATCCCTGAATGAATTACAGCATATTCCCAGGAAAGATTACTAATTCTTTAGCTGAGAGAATATTAAGAGACTGAAGAAATGACATCAAACCTCAAGCAGTACTCACATGGCTGTAGTTAGGAGTTTGGTCTCTCTCTCTCATGCAGAGGGAGGGAGCTGTTTTGGGGGAAGATTTAGAGCAAGATACTGACTTAGATGCTCTAAATAGCTTCCTGGAGGAGCTGTCCTCACCTTGTTAACAGTATAGAGAGCCATAGCTCCCAACATTACCCACCTAAATCAGGCAGTGTGACTCCTGCTCTTTTTTTGGAAATACAGTGTAAAACCAGAAGAAGGTGGCAGGTAAAATCATGGCAGACTTCTCTGACCTTTTACTAAGCAGCAGAAACTCTGATACAAGATGGAAAAATTAAATGTGTTCCCTTAGCAGTACGTGTGATATTGGGAAATGCTGAAACTCTTGCTCACATGGTATAAGGTAGCCTGTGAGTAACAGGTATGTCGTGTAACAAGTTAGCAGATTACAGGAAGGACAAACATGTGCAGGTAAATCTAATAACAAGAGGTGGGTAATTTCATTAACCCAGCTGCTGTTGTTGTTGTTTCAAGACAATTAATTGCAACTTACACTTTGCAAGTTAGTCACTGGAGAGAACCGTGGGTGCCTGGGCTGTGAATGAATGCCACACCTCACATGCTGTTCCCATTTGGTGTTTCTAAATAAAGACTGCTGAACAGATCACGTGCATCATGCACATGTATGTGACATTTATTTTATACTACATGTATAAAATTAATATAGGCTTGGAGTAGTTTTAACTTCATTGTGATTTTTTTAAATTTATTTTAACTCCACAGATCACACCCAAGAATGGCCGCTATCAAATCGACTCAGATGTGCTCCTGTTTCCGTGGAAGCTGACTTACAGGAATATTGGCTCTGATTTTATTCCTCGGGGAGCTTTTGGGAAGGTGTACTTAGCACAAGATAGAGAAACAAAGAAACGAATGGCATGCAAACTGGTATGTTAGTTCAGTAATTTTACCTCTGAGCAAATATTGTATTACATAATACACACAGTATATTTTCATATATGTCAGCATCAAATTTCACTGTCAGGCTGATGATCACCTGTTTTGTTGGCCTACACAAGGTAGGAAAATGCACATTTTTAACTATTAACTTGTTCTAATTTTTTGTCTCTGAGACTGTAACAGTCGTCATTTTGGAAGTATCTGGAAGTATGTGTAACTGCCATGTGGGCAGGTCTGCTGTGGTGCAGGCGTAGCAGGGTTTCTACTTGTCCTGCTGTACTCACGGTAGTAAAATATCAGCATGAGATCACGTCCCTGCTGAAGATGATAGCAAAACCCTGTTGCTGCAGGTGGTTTTAGGATCTTGTACTTTAAATGGGGTCTTCAGACCTAAGTTTTCTTTACTCCTGTGCCATTAGTGTCCCTGGGAGCTCAGCTTACATGCAACTCTCATTGTGTTTTGGGCACTGACTGAGCATAAGGCTGTGAGATATCTGAAGAAGACTGCAGAGCAGCCCCTATTTCTATGCAAACTAATGTTTTCTTTCAACTTTACCTTTTGACATACTATTCTGAATTGAGCAGTAAATATTTAGGGCCAGTAAAATGCTCAGCTGGGACACTGCTTAATGTCCCCTTCCCCTTGTGAGTAAGTACCTATATTACCTCTGTGTGTGAAAGAGTTGGGGAGGCAGTTGTATGGCCTTCCCTTGCAGCCAGTGTATCCACATGGGGACAGATTTCGTTTGCCGCTTCTGCATAACCCCCTGCAGAGTTCAAGTGTCCTAATGTTTCTGAAAATACAAACAGTATTTCTCATTGCAATAGAAATATTAGTCTCTTGTTTGGTTCAGAGCCACAAGTCTGAGGGACGGAGAATAAAAAGAGTGGTAGTAGCCTTTCCATGTGTGAGCAAACACTGCTCTTTATTGTCTTAACAATCTGCCGTCAGTACTTCTAAAATAAATATAGTGCTGCTGGGTGATCACTTGAAAGGTGGTTTCATTTCTCGTAAGCCATAGAACAGCACTGATAAGGATTGAATTGAGGTCAGTAATGGTTCTGAGCGTGGTTAGTCTGTAGACTGTGCTGAGTGCTGCGAGCACTGATCCACGTGTCAGACGAGTGTATAGTTCTGGTAGAGCAGATGAGACTGCACAAAGCTAATGGAAAAAACTGTGGGATTTTTGTCTCCTTCACCAGGAAGTTTGCATAGAGCTTTTGCATAACTACTGGATTTTGACGGGAATAACTCTTGCTACATTGCTTTTTCTGGAAGATTGCACTTTTTATTTGGGCATGATTCCAAAAACTCTCAACTTTAAACAGGATCTATCTCAACTGGAAAGGAACGACAAGTCAGAGGATCAAAATAAATCTCCGTATTTTAACTAGTAGATAGTGCTTCCTTCTATTTTAATCTATACTAGTATAGAGAACTAGTGTTAGTACGTATAACTTGTTTATTGAGCTGCTTTTCTGTGGTTTTGTTTCAATGTCCTAGGTCCCAGTGGAACAGTTCAAACCGTCAGATGTTGAAATACAGGCATGTTTCCGTCATGAAAACATTGCTGAATTATACGGTGCTATTTTGTGGGATGAGACGATCCATCTCTTTATGGAAGCTGGAGAGGGAGGGTCTGTCATGGAAAAGCTGGACAGTTGTGGTCCTATGAGAGAATTTGAAATAATTTGGGTGACAAAGCATATTCTGAAAGGACTTGACTTTCTCCACTCCAAGAGGATTATCCACCACGATATCAAACGTATGTGTGTGTGATTCCTTGGGTTGCTTTCTGGTCCAAGCTGGGCTGGGGGTCCAGTGGAAAGTCTGGGACTGAGCTGGGGTGTGTAGCCTTGCAAAATTATCAGTCTGTGTTAAGCCACTATCCCTCTTTCCATGTGAATCAATCCCGAGTGCTTCCATGCTCACCTTCCACTTGTACCTGTTTTTAGGTTTAATGCTTCTGCATGGCTGTTCCTCAGTATGAGCCACTTTGTAACTAAATAATTTGTACTGTTTTTTTTCTTTCAACAATTACTGAAAATTTTAGTGTATATTTACTTTTAAAAAGCTCTGGGTATTAACATGTACAAATAATCAGAACATATTGATATTAAACCTAAATTTAATACATTAGTATGAAATTGCTTTAAAATTTAATTTTAATGCATTACATTTAATTTAGTATTAAATACCACCTCCCCCAGCAGACAGATAAATTCTGCCTTTCTAGTAACAGTGCTTCTAATGAAGTTGTATCTCTTCTATGAGTTAAGTTTTGCTAAACTTGGGGGTTTAAAATACAAATATTTGAACTGAAGTGTTACAGTAAATAGTTGACAGAAGACCATTATCAGGAATTGCTAGATTTTGATTCTGGTTTTGCATATTTTTTTTAGTTAATGTGGGTCAGTACTTTAGATGTAAGCCTTTGAGATTACGACAACTATAAAATGGATTAATTTTCCCCTTAGCTGGGCTTTCTTGCTTGTAGTAAGAGTCCTTCCTATGGGTTTATTGTAATGGGCAGTAACAATGACATTAGTTGTGAACGTGGTGCCTTTTTCTGTTTAACTGTACGCAGGGCAGGAGCTGAGGTGGAGGCAGCCCAGGGCTGATGGTCGCCAGGCTGCAAACCTCGACCACGCTCCTGCCTGCGGGGAGCTGTTTTGCTCCACGGGTTGAGCTGGAGAACCCAGGCCCCTAACGGACCACTCAAGGGAGCCGAGATGTGTGTTTTCCCTCCCCAGGCAGAATGGATAGAAAAGGCTGTTCCCCAAACATCTCTGATTTCTTCCTGGCCATGGGCACTCCCGCTCCCGTTGAGTCTCTGTCCTGCTGATGCAGGAGGAGGTGGGGATTTTAGCGAGAGAAAGAGTCCCCTGAGCCAGGAAGGGGAGCAGGACTTTCTGTTGGCTTTTAGGAGCAATTCAGTGCTGCCACTCATTTTAACCCTTGTCTGGAAAGCAGTTAAATCATCAGGTTATGTGGTGGGGGCAACTGTAGTTCAAAGCCTGCCGAAGCTGGGGCTGGTGCAGTCCCAGACGGGCAGCAGAGCTTGCTGCACTGCGGCAGTGTGCCCTCTGCAGTGTCCCTTATGCGGTGTTTAACATCCATATCTTCAAAAGTATCTCTAAAATTACAAATGTATTTACATAGTTTTGTAGCACTAGTAAGGAAGCAGATAGGTGAAGGATTGCTTCAGGAACCAGTACTGCTGAAATCAAGCCCACGTCTTCCCACTAGGTGGGCACGGTGGGCACTCTCAAGATGGAAGAAGGTGTTTCTGTTGTATAACTTGGAGACTTCATTTGTCCCCATCTTCTGAAACAGCAAACAAGAATTTCTCAAGGCTTACACAGAGCACTGCCTTCATAAATAATGTATCAGAAATACAACTGCAAAGAAAGCCTCTGCATACAAAGTTGTGCCTTAGGCAGAATTTTATGAAGGAAAGTGAATTAAGCTCCTAGATATTGCTGCAATTCGGTGGGAGATTGGAATTATCTTTTATTACTTTTGCAGCCATAGTCTGTCCTCTGTCATCACGTTGAGCTGCTCTGACGGGTGCAGGAGACTGGTGGGGCTGCTGTGAAGGGGCCTTGGTTCCTCTCTACTTCTGTCTTCATTTAAATCATTAGTGTAGAGAAACCTCTTGGTGACCAACAGTTATGTTGTTTATAGCCAGCACAGCATGCTCTCCACCTTGGAGACCATTAAACATCTTCAGAGCAAGTCTCCTTGTGCCGAGGTGCCTACAAGTCTTCCACCCTCCTCCCTCACCCTCAGCCATTTTTTCTTTTTTTTTTTTTTTTTAAGCTAAGAAAAAGAGCAAACATTGATTCTTCTGTTACGTAAACCAGTCCAGTTTAATTTCTAAGACAGGATTTAAAATTGGACCCAATCACTAACAAACCTGTTTTGGCAAGGAGAAGGACTGTGTGGGCTATAGAGACTAGTTGTGCTATCTCCCTTTTCAGGCTAATGTCCAAATGAAATATGTTGCAAAATAAATGCCCAAGATGCTAGAAACTTAAATGCTGTCATTTTTGTTCTTTTAGCAAGCAACATTGTCTTTATGTCAACTAAGGCTGTTTTGGTGGATTTTGGCCTAAGCGTTCAAATGACTGAAGACATTTACTATCCCAAAGACCTTAGAGGAACAGAGGTAAGAAGCTGGAGGGACAAAATCCCTTATGTTGTATTACTCCCATGGTTGTGATGCTTAGGCTCAATTTGGAGCTTGAGGGTAGAAGCTTGGACAAAAGAGTTTTATAATAACTTACAAAAAGTTACAAACAAACATTAATGTAATCTGAATTATGTTTTTATTTTCAACTTGATGAATGGAGAATCAGGTGTTACACTTTGAAAGCCATGTCACCTTCTCTGCAGTCCCATTTGGTAGAGATTATAAGATCTAAAGTCAAAGAGAAATCTATGTTAGCTGAAGTCAAAGGAACAGCACTCTGAGGATTGTTTGCAGTGAATCAGCTGCTGGTCAGAGACTCTTCAGACTGGAATTTGGCTCTTAGCTCTAGCAAAGATATCTTCTGAGATACCAGCTATGGAGTGGGGTGACCTGCTCAGCACAGTAGTTTGACTCCTTTGAAACTGCAGAAGTTACAGACCTCTGGGTTTCATCCCTTAGCATTTCTGAGCTCTGTTCCCTGTCTACATGTAAACCTCTTGTCCTTTGGGGGTTGTGGGTGGCACGGTTGATGATTATCTGGTAAACTGCTAAGGCATTACAGTGATGGAGGTGAGGGCCTTTTAAATGTTCTCAGTGACTTTTACTCTGAATGTGCACAGAGGTCCTGCACACCTCTTGGGCTACCCTCATGCCAAAGTGTTTCCAAGGTTGTAGGTTTAGCAAACAACTAAGCAGCAACCATTAACTTGGGTAGCTGCTGCTGCAAATGTGGCTTTGCATGCTCTCTGTTGCCAGAGGAGTTTGTTTACAGGAAATGCTTCAGCTGAAATGTTGGCACTTACCATTTTGATAGTCTTCCACAGCATAGGCATGTGTTTAGAGGAGATACTTGTATAGCTGACAAAGAGCGTTTCCCTCCTTGAAAGGGTAGGATAAACCAAGATTTTTGCAGAATGTCAGGCTTGTTTATTTGTTTTCAAGATATTTGGAAAAATACTTGAACGTTTGTTTTCACTGTCTTTCTAGTCAAGGGATTTAAGAGCTTAAAATGCTGTACTGGAAGCAGCATGCTTTCTGGCATTTGTGCGTGCCTTGTGGTTTTTCTATTTTGGTTTGGTTTGGGTTTTTTGTTTCTTTGTTCAGGGGCTTTTGTGTGCTCTAAATGAGAATAAGAAAAATGTTGGGAATTATTTGGAAGCCCTGTTAGGGTGTTTCCCAAGGATGGAGATGTGTGTAAACAGGAAATTTCCAGGTTTGTGGCACGGACTGGTGATAATCCGCTCCTGGCTGTCTCGGTGGAGAAGTAGCTACTCCTTGGAACCGGCAAATTCTGCCACAGCATTGAGGGCCAGAAGGAAGAGTGTGGAGAGAGTGTTGGGGAAGATTTTCAAATACCACACAAGGACTTACAGGAACATCGTGAATGCTGGTCTATAGGTTTTTCTGTTCATAGTCTTGCTCGTAGGCATCTTCCTCTCCACAGTGCCAGTGTTCAGCCCTGTGGGGTGCCTAATCCAGTCACCCACAAATGCCCTCTGCAGCCTTTGATAGCACTGGCTTTCTTGACATTTTTTCAAAGTAAGATCTTGACTCGCCAAAGTTCTCCTGAGTTTTGCACTCTCTATTGTGCAGCTTTAAGAAGTGGTGCAGGAGTGCTGGTTCTGCACATAGCTGTGCAACCCCTTCTCAGGGCTCTACTGCTGCCACGCAGCATTGTGCCTGTCAACTGGCTGGTTTCTCTTGTGTCTGGTATTGGCAGGGACTCATGTCCACAAATTAAGTGGCACTTGGAGTTACCTTTCATCTGTCCTCCTCTGGGGATTTAGGATTTTTATTCGCTTCTATAGCAAAGAAAGTCTGAATGTAGTGAATCTTCCTCGTGTTTATGAAAATGAATAGTTGCAACTCTGGGCAGAATGACAGAAAGTTAGTTAAATTTTGTTTAGTTGGTGTAGCATGAAAAACCCGAGTTTTCTGAACAGTGTGTGTACAACACATGCAGCACGATATACCATGGCTGTGATGAAGCTGCTCTGCAGAAAATACTTTTTCTAGGTTCTTGCTACACTTTCTGTTATGCTTCTGTCACTTTGTTAAAATATAAAAGCTTCAGTTACAACCATTTGAGGGGAGGAAAACGTTGTCTGCTAAGGTTTATTGAATATGGAGGTGTGATTTTTCAGGAATGCTAAACTAAAACTAGCACAGCGTGAGGAAAAGGACTGGTTTTTAGCTGGGTTATGTCTCTGGTCTGACTGGCAGACAAGTGCCAGCCCAGCAGTAGGAAGGAGTGGGAATTGGAAGGTACCTGGGGCTTGGGCTGCCTAGTTTGGTGGCAGCAGAGGCTTAGGCCAGTCTAAAGCAGTCTGAAATCACAGCTTTGGTGCACATCTAATTTTTGTTTTTTTGTCCTTGTGCAATCAAGGTGCATCTTGACCATTTTCACACTCTTTAACTGCAGACAGGTTCTTATTCCAGCATCCTTTTTTCCTCAAGAAGGCAGCTGCTTTTTGTTTATATAGATTTCACTCAAGTTGCACTGTATTTGATAATGGTTCTTTTTTACAAAAGTAGAAATTCTGTTCTTTGCTCCTTATGACACTTAAACGTGGCAGGTGCAGACGCACTTACTCTATCTTAGCCCTGAGGAAAGCAATGGATAGGAGTAAGCAGCAGCTGTAGATGCCTGAACCTTTGCACACAGTTCCAATCTGAAGCTCTGTTTGCAGATATGGTATATGATTTACTGGGAAATATTCCTTGGAATTTGCATGAGCCCTACAGCCATTCTCAATCTGTGGTAATAAGTAGTCAAACCATGCAGTGATGACTTAACTTCCTGCTCCTGTGTCAGTTAATGGCTTTTAGTGTGATTCTTTGTGGCAGAGTGACTTGAACTAATTAAAGTTCTGTTTGGCTTCTTTAGAGGGAAATTGGGTAAGGGAAAAGTAGAAACCAGAAGCAAAAAGGACAGCGTTCTAACCTAGTGTATTGTGGGCTCTGTGATGTTGTGTTGAAACCTGCTCCCTGGGCCAGTGGCGGTGGCAGAGGCATGTGGGCAGCTCCTGCCAGCCACGGGGTGTGCCTCCCTCCTGCATCCCGCCCGTCTGGTTCTCCTCCCACTGCTCTCCTAGCTGCCTGGAGCTGGCAGGAGCTTCCCACCAGATCCTTCTTGACAAATCCAAACGTTTCAGTGAAATGTTGGATGGAAACTGTATTTTGGTTTAAACAAAATTAGAATTTTTGGTTTAAAAAAAAAGGATGGAAGAGGAATGCTTGCCTTAATCGCTGGTGTGGGGGTAACCTGGTGGAAGGGGTATGCAGCAGGACTTAAGAGACCTGGCTGTTAATTTATGCATTGCCTTAGACCTGGCTTGTTCCTGTCACATGTCTTAGGGTAATGCCCCAACATGCAGGTTATTGGATAAGGGTGTGAGAGGAGAAGAGTAAGGAAGACAGGAAGGTGTCTATCTGTCAGTTGTGCCCAGAAGAGTTGGGTAGTATCCAGTGTAACAGGGATTTAACTCAGCTACCCCCAGCTGAGTGGCTAGCAGTGGGGTTACCCTCTCTCTTTAGCCTAGTGCAATGCCCATCTTGTTCAAGCAGAATGGAGCAGTCCCAGCAGAGTCTGGCAAAACAAACTGGCAATTCAGGCATCTCCTTTTGCTGTGGAGGGATAAGGTTCCTGCTGTCCAGTTGAACAAAGCAGAGCCATGGCTTGAACCTCAGCCTCTCACTGCTTGGTTGAATCCCATAGCCACGGAGCTGTGGCCTGGCTGGCAAGGGAAAACCTGGAATATGAGTTTGTCCAGATGCCAGACCAGAAAATCTCTGTGATTGTGGTAATGTGCAGAGCAAAAAAATCCTATTCCCCAGATGGTGCTTGGTCTTTAGGCTGCAGATACTAGTGGGATGCATCCCTTCAGACAGGGGTTTCCAGGATCACAAAATGTCACAATTCATCTTAGTTTGTTGTTTTCCCCTGTTGATTAATCTTTTTTTTTTTTTTTTACTATTCTTCACAGATTTACATGAGTCCTGAAGTTATCCTCTGCAGAGGCCACACAACAAAAGCAGATATCTACAGCATGGGTGCTACTATTATTCATATGCAAACCGGCATCCCACCCTGGGTGAACAGATATCCTCGTTCTGCATATCCATCCTACCTCTATATTGTAAGTGTCCTTAGCACAGCCATAGCTCGGTTTCAGTTGAAGGGTTTCCTTTACTCTTGTTGGGAAAGCTTCAGTCATATAAAAACTACTAAAATATTTGTCAGAGAGATTATATCATCCTTTTTGCCTCAGTAGAAGGAGGGAAGAAGTGTGTTTTGATCATTTACGGGAAGACAGAGGCTGAGCTGGAGTAATCTCCGTGGTTTGTGTTACAATTTACAGGCCTTGGGTTTACTGCAGGGACAGGATTAGAACAGCATGAAACTTGATTGAAACAAGTCCATCTGTGTTCTGCTTGTCTGTTTTGCTTAGAAGTTGCAGATAAAAACTGGAGCCTGGCAGATTTGATTCTCTGGTTCTTCCAGTGTGGTACAGAAATCTGGTGCATTTGCATTGCGCCAGATTTTAGGCTTGCTTGGAGTTGCTTTGAGTTTTTAAATTTATGATAAAATCCGATTTTTAAAAAGATGGATTATATACAGTTACATGTTCTGTTCTAATTAATCAGCCCAGCTGTTCTGGTTTTGGCTGGGATAGAGTTAATTTTCTCCATAGTAGCTAGTATGGGGCTCTATTTTCGATCTGTGCGGGAAGCAGTGTTGGTAACACAGGGATGTTTTAGTTACTCTGAGCAGTGCTTACACAGAGCCAAGGACTTTTCTGCTCCTCACACCGCCCCACCAGCGAGTTGGCTGGGGGTGCGCAAGGGGTTGGGAAGGGACACAGCTGGGACAGCTGACCCCAGCTGACCAAAGGGATATTCCATACCTTTTGACGTCATGCTCAGCATATAAAGCTGGGGGAGGAAGAAAGAAGGAGGGGACATTTGGGGTGGTGGCACTTGTCTTCCCAAGTTACACATAATAGAGCCCCAGTTTCCTGGAGATGGCTGAACACCTGCCTGCTGATGGGAAGTAGTGAATGAATTCCTTGTTTTGCTTTGCTTGCACACATGGCTTTTGCTTTGCTTATTAAACTGTCTTTGTCTCAACCCATGAATTCTCTCACTTTTACTCTTCC